AGCTCCTCTGCTTGGGTAGGGGGTCTATAGTAGACTCCCACCAATAGGTCCCTTTCCCCTCTTCTGCCTTGAACCCTAACCCAAAGCACCTCAGAGTGCTTCTCCCCTGACTCCTTACTAATCAGCGAGGATGTGTAGTCCTCCTTGATGTAGAGTGCCACTCCTCCCCCCCGATTTGTTTAAAAATCACTTTAATAGTCTCATTAATAGGAGGTCTTATAAAATCTCCAGGAACCTGTACTATCTGACAGTCTGACTCAAAGTAAACCACTTATAATTGTTCTTATGGCCCATTCTCAATCAAAATGATTCTAGTCTTGTTGAAAGAAGCTATAAAAGTGGACCACAAGAGAGAAACCTTGATGAGGCCATTTCTGGTTGGCTGAAAGACCCCAGCCTCTCCTTTTGGAAGTGCCCTTTTCCTATGTTGTTGAAGTGTATAAATACGTACCTCTGCTGTTGTAAATAAATACAGAAAGGCTATGTTCAGCCTCTGACCAGCAGTGATTACCTGAAACTCCTGGGTTGCGTAGAAATAAACTTTCTCACTGTTTTTTGTGCCAAACATTTTCACGGGGACTTTTCTTGCACGTGTCAAAATGCAAGCTCTCGTGGCATGACCCATGAAACGGCAGGAAGAAGTTGCTGCATGTGCTCAATAACCATTTCTGAAATGCAGATATCAGCTTTTTATTTTTAATATAGCAATATCCATTCACAAATTATATTCAGAGTGGTCTTTGGGCAGATACTGATGCAGAGAGGTGCCTCGTGAATTTTTTTTTTTTAAAGCAGCTGTCTGGTAAGCTCCTAAGACCCACTGACATTGACCTTTGAAAACCTGTCCCTAATTGGTAGGAACAGGGAGCAGATTCAGAGATCTTGTGTGACATCAGTGCTTCTGGGTTGCCAGGAGCATTCTTTTATTTTCCTTCCTTTTATTAACATTTTGTTTAACACACACATTTGCTGTACCTTAGTATTTCTGCAATAACAGAACAACCTGCCATGAGCTAGAAATTGTGGTGCTCTGTTTCAAATGTGAAGTAAACCAGTAGCGAGAAAGTTGATTTAAAAAAAAAAAATTACAGCCTATTTTTTTTTTTTCCCTTGGCTTCAGGTGGCAATAAAAATCATTGACAAATCCCAGCTGGATGCCGTTAATCTGGAGAAAATCTATCGAGAAGTGCAGATAATGAAAATGCTCGACCACCCCCACATTATAAAGCTCTATCAGGTACAGTTACCTGCTGCTGTCCTTCTCCTCTCTTCCTCCATGTGTTTTTGTGCAAAGGCTTTATCGGTGTCCAGTCCTGTATGTCAGCAATGTATTTGGGGGCTGCTTTTTCATAATGCGCATTCAGCTTTTAGCTGGGTGAGTTTCTGTGGCTATGGTTTTCTTTAGTCATTCTGCAATCACTGTTGCATATGCAGCTTCTCGACCACATTTGGCCTCTGTGCTGCAGAACCCCGAAGATGCCTGCATTCTTCTTTTGAAAAAGTTAAGATGTAATTTAGTGATAATGAAAGATAAGAGACTGCGATACCTGGTGACTGAAACCTCCTGCAGCTTTGTAGAGCAGCTACGTTATCATCAGGAACTGAACCCATGGCATTGCTGCTGTGCACACGCTGAGTTCAGAGGCCACTTTCCATGGCTTCATTAAGTTCTTGGCTTGTTTTGCTGAAACTACCTGCAGTGATGTTGAATGTTGTGGTGGTGGTGGTAGAAGCTCTTGCCCACTGAGATCTAGACTGAGACCACCAGTCTTCTGTAGTATAAAGTACTGAGTTGCCAACAGATAACAACCCTCAAACCACACTGGCCATTAGCAGAGGAAAGTTTTATAACCACCTCTACTGAACCATCCAGTGCCCCTAAACAGCAGGATCCCAGTTACTTGTCTTGTACTTGGTAAAGTCACATCATCATAAAGTGGGTGGAAGATGCTGCCATTCCTGTCTGGTAGCCTTTTACTCCCACTCTCCACTGGTATAACTAATTACACCAGGTAGGATGACAGTGATTTAAATCTTCATCTTTCAAAGTCCTATCCAGACACTTGGATATCCACAGTGAGTCTCAAAGCCTTTAGCCTGTCTGCAGAAGTTGTTCAGATACCTGTTGGTGTCATTCTGTCTTGCAACTTTATATCTGTTAACTACTGTTAGCAGATGCGTAGGGCTTGCTAAACCACAGAAAATCAGATAATTTCAGACATAAAGGTGAATCTGCCTTTCAGTCATCTGACAACGTCTAGATAATCTAACAGACCTTGGCATGAAAAGGTGAGAAGGGGCATTCGGTTTCAAAATGTCTTGCTTTGTTCTTGAGCAAACACGCTTACCCATTGTAATCAAGGTTAGAGATACTCCTGAGTGTGTTTCAGGTGTCAGCATGTCATTGGCACCCAGTCTGATGTGGCAAGAATTTCAAGGCATGCAGCATTTCGTCTTTAGGGACTAGTTAGATTTGTTGGTTATTTCCCCCTATTTCTGGATCAGAATCGATCCCAAATGACTAGTGACTTGTAAGGGCAACTTCCCCAATAGGTATTCTCATGTCTTTCTTCTCTGAGCAGCAGTAGAAGTTGCCTGGATTTAGTCACGGGGGAGGTGGACTACTAAAAATCAAAGCATGGGCAGAGAGAGTAGTAGAGAAATCCATCCCCACAGAAGCCCACAAGTTGAGAGAGTCTCTGAGAATGAGAGAAGACAGAGTAGATTGGGTCCATAGATTACTAGATGGTTGTCTGCTAGCAGGAGACTGATTTGAAGGTTGAGTCTTCCAAGAAGTGTTTGGAGTACTAGTCGTAGGAATCCCGGCACCCTCTCTTTCATCATCTGTGTGTTACATATAATTGGCTTTTCACGTGGACATTCTCCCCTGGATAAAGGAGCTCCATCTTCCTGTAGGCCTTTGGTTTGTTAGTTGTCCCCTGGCTCTTAAATCTAATAACATTTCTGAGCTCTCCATGTGTGCAGTGAGGAGAATTCATTAAGTGGGAAAGAGAGAGGGAGGAACTTGCGGCAAATAAGCTGAAGAAAAGAGTGCTCTGAAGAAATGTGGTGTATACTCTTGATAAGTACCAGTATTAAATTGCACCCCACCTGGAGGCATGGCTTCTTTATGCTGCTTCTAGCTCCCTATAGTTGCATGCAGCAGCTAACACAGGGAGATTGTAAAAGCACAGTGTAGTACTTGGTCAAAGGGCGAGTATCTGGTAACTGCTTTGCCATTCTGTGTGCATCTGCTCTGACTTTAGGTACAGAGTAGAATATAGTGCAAGTGGCTCTGCAGGTACTTTATGACAAGGGTGTATGAGCATCAGGTGTAAACAGTGGCATTAAGGCACCTTTATATATAGTTTGCATTCCATCCAAGTTCATCCTCCTCCGGATGCTCGTGCTCCTGGCGTACAAGATCGAAATATTTGCATTGTAGCATCCCTGTGTCCCCTATCAAAAGGCACGTAAAAAAAAGAAAGAAAGGGAGCAGAGTGGCTGTAGCCATCCTTTTCCATTTTTCTATATTTTTGCCCCCAAAATTTCACAATTTTAAACTTTGGTTTTTTTTTCTGAGGCTCTTTGCAGCACAAACATAGGTTAAAACAGCAGGTTTAGAGTATTCAAATCTGATCCATCCTGAGACATGTTTGTTGCATAGAGAAAGTTACAGCTGCTGGTATTTTTTTTGTCTTCAGGAGAGCCGTGTGCCAACCTCCCTTTTCAGCTAGGATGGGAAGTTCGGGAACTTGGGCTGAAGGTTGCTGAACAACCTTGCTCCTCAGCTTTCCAGGTCCCAGTGCCTTAGGGAGCAGGCAGGCAGTGCCTGACGTGGTACTATCAGGCAAGAATTGGGGACCATCAAAAGCTACTTTTGATACTGACTTTACCACCATGACACCAAGAACTGGTACTCCTGTCACACCAAGCCTCGGGAAACCTGAGCACCAAACTAGACACAGCCCCCAGCACTGATCTGCCTCTTTGCTCAAGAAGAAACTCAACAACTTGCACTTTTCTTAGGAACAGAGTACTAAGCCTGCTTGCTAATAGGCACAAGTGATGCCGGCAGAGTAAGGTGCCAACATCTGTTAATACTTGTGACCATTGGCATTAGCACCCAAACAGATAGTGTGATCAGTCCTGACAATGAAAACCTTAATGGTTCCAAGTAAGCTGATGTTAAGAGAGTTTGCTATGTCTCCATCACTGCCCTTGGCACCAGCGATACTGTGCTAAGGCACTATGCTACTTCCAGGTTGGAAGAAGGTTACTTCTTGTATCCTACCTGTTACCTCGGCTCTGGCTTTCTTTTTTTGACATCTAACAAGAAACCTTCCCTCCAGTCACACACGTCACGGGAGGGTGGTTCTGAGTCAACCAAGACTGCCTGCTTCATAACTCTGACTCCCATGCCTCAGGCTTGGCAGTGGCTTAGCCAACCTTACCAGAACCAGCCTTATCCTTACGATGTCCACCTTGACCCTACTGGACGTACTGGAGCTGTCCGTTGGGACATCCAGCAGTTGCTTCCCCTATTGCTACTCAAGAAAACGCAGGTTGCGCTATTTATTTTGCATGCATTTCAAAGGAAAACTGAACCAGGGGAGAAGAGGAACGGGAAGATCTTGAGACTCTTAAACATCATTCTTCTTCAAAAGGCTTGTCACTGCCTTTGGCCTGCTGAAGCAGCCTAGCTGGTTCCTGTACTCTGACTTCTTATGCCTTCAGAGTTTTCCAGGAGCTGCTGTCTTGGAGAGCAGAAGCCTGTTGAAATCTCTGAAATGAAAAAAAAGCCCGTGAGAGAGTTTTTTTTCTTCTATGTACTGCATTCCTCCAGTCCTGCAAGAATAACATTGCCAATTAAAGAGGACATCCTAGAAGCAGCCTCAGATTTGGTGGCTGACGTCAGCAGTTTTGCTAGCAGCCACGAAAAGAACAAAATAGAAGAATCAATCCCATAGTCCAAGAGCGTGGAGCCGTTTACACCCACACAACGCCAGATTCCTTCGTGGTTTCTGCAGTCCTCAAGACAACCAAAAGACCAGGACCCAGAGAAATTGGATCTCTTTGGAGAATAGCCTTATTTGTCATTCTAGTTATGAATAGCAAATTCTTGAGTTGCATTTGCTAAATATTATTCTTTAACTTGGGATTGGGTACTCCCCCTTCCTGGCCAAATGCCCTCTGAAAACTGTCGTTGCTGAAAGTTGGCTTTGGGCAACAACATTTTTGGGCAGGAATGGATGCATCGATCACTGCAGGTCTGTGAGTGCTGGGCTGAGTGTGCAGAGCATCATGGTTGTGGCCACTGGCATCCTTCATAAGGAGCAAAGCGCCATTCAGCCCATACACTGCTAATTTTTGGCTCTTATTAAAGAACTTCAAGGTCAGGCGTAGCTTGTAGGGCATTTTCACTCTAGCCCCTGACAGCCTGTCCTGTATGTGCCCAGGGCAATCCTGTGACTTTCTTGTGTCTCTTCTCACACTCTTCTCCCAAAAGTTGGCTAAAAGTTGTGCTTTGTCTATGAAGTATGTCAGGAGGGCTTCTATGCACAGTATTTCCTTATTCTAAAGAAGAATGAAAATCTCATTTGGATTAGAAATGCAGGGAGCATTTAATTCCAAGCATTCTAGGTGCTGCAATAAAAGAATACAAAGGCGAGAAAACCCCTTTGCATTCAAACCAGGGTGGAGGGGCTCTGATCCTACACCCCTCCCCTGGCAGTGAGCTCACTCCTGTAAAGATCAGACTTGCAGTGACAGGATTATTCCACTCCTTAAAGACAAAGGGCTTGATTTAGCAAAGTCGTGTTCAGCTTTAATTTCATGTTACAGGAAAAGAGTCTAGCACTTCCTTATAAATCAACTGGTGATTCATAGAGTAGAGGCAAATGTTAAGGACAGAATTGTTAACTCCCTTAAGTAAGATTGACTGTGATCTTTCTTAAGCGGATGACAAACAAAATTTAAGAGGAGGCAAGAACAATTCAGGAGTGGAAGTAAGTAGAGGCAGGTCAAGACATGTGATGTTTATTGTTTTTACCCCTTGAATATTACAGGGATGGGCACATCAAAGGAACACTCACTAGAGTAGATTTAAAAAAAAAAAAAAGGCATCTCCCACATTGGGGCTTTCTAGTCTGTCTGTAATGTTCCCATCACTTAACTCTATGCACAGGAGGAGTCTTGACTGTCTTTCCAGGGTCAGGACATTTTTGACTCGGTACTGGGGAAAAAAGGGGCTGACCTGCATCAGAGGGCTCGATTAGGTCTGGACTCTTGTATTCATAATGCAGAGAATATTGATGTCCTCTGCCTCCAGGTACTGCCTCTCAAAGCCAGCTTGTATTTCAGCCCAGAATATTTGCAGTCATCATGCGCACCGAGCCTTAAATTAAATGAGAATGCAGCCAGGGTAGGACTGTCTGAGGATCAGCCATTGTGTGCTGTCTGCTGCTCTCCTGGGGATTGCATGTTTTTATAACTCTCTGTTAAAAGTTGGTTTCCTTTGGGCTTTTTAAATACATTTCCCTAAAAACAGTTATTTTACAAGAAACTAGTGCCATAGTTTTCAAGGTGGTAAATAAATAAAAGACAGGAAATTCAAAATGAAAGGAGGCTTACCCACAAGTTTTTCAGTTGATCTGTGTGTTTAACAAGTTGCCATGCTTGGGTCATTCAAATAGTTTAGGTCCAAAATGTGACTGACATTCAAATTGTTATAATTTGCTGGAGGGAAAATCCTAAATGACTATTTTTATTTGAAAACACAGGTTTTCAGTCTCTTTGATCCTGCTGCTTATGAAATGAGTCCCGAGGGAGTGTTTGAAAAGAGTGGGCTGGGGGTGTCACTTAGGAAGAAAACTGCAGGGTAATGGAGGTAGTTGTCCCTTCCAGGGTAGATAGCATGGGAAGCCAGTGTCTTGATTCTTATCTCATGATCAGGACATGCAGTGCAGTACTTTTACATGAAAGTTGGAAATGTAGTGATTTTATTTTCACAGTATTTTGGAACAGAGGGCAGGCTGTTTTTGTAGAACTGCCTGGTCGAGTAGCAGCAGGATTGTCGATCTCTGAAGAGAGAAATTACGTACAGAATTGAAAGATTTGGGGGTGCAACTGTCCTGTACTGCATTATGGTAGGCGTGGGATCGTATGGCCTGTAGTGTTTGGTGAAATTTGGCCAATTTGGGATGATGAGCACACTTAATTGTATTGTTTTTTCCTCCTGTGATGAGTAAGGGCAGCAGGGGCTCCAGGCCCCTTTCCGGTCCCCAGACGCTAACCCTACTTCAATAAATAAGTCAGAAGAAGAATTTGGTAAGGCAGTCACTCAAACCCAGTGACGTAAGTAGCAGCAGCTGTCAGGACGAGAATTTCAGTTGGGATATGGCGATATCGTTTCTTCCTATGTGTGGCCAAGAATCGAGCCCATCTCCTTTAGAGTCATAGATTGTAAGGCCGGAAGGGACCTTGGAAGATCAATGGGTCCAGCCCCGTGCACCAAGCAGGAAAGACAGCAGGGGTGGGGGGGTCAGGTGATGACGTAGCAAGGCCGAACTTCGGCATGCGAGGAGGTCTAGTGAAGTCATTGGGGCTAGTACACCGAGTAAAACTATGACCTCATGCAAACGTTGGTAGTTTTGAGCCCCGGAGTGACTTCCATTAGGGGAGAAGGGCTGGAAAATCTGTGGTTATGTCGCTTTTCCCCTTCCCCCAACTAAACTAACGTGCAATTTCTCCATCAACAGGTGATGGAGACCAAAAGCATGTTGTACCTTGTGACAGAATATGCCAAAAATGGAGAAATTTTCGGTAAGCAAGAGTCCATTTTAACATTAAATATTTCTTTCTGCAGTTTGTTGTTGCAACTTAGTTTGGTTTTTCAAGAGAAATCCAAGCCTCAGGATCACTTATGCTGTAGCGTCTGTTCTTTGAGGAAAAGCTACAACTAAGTCAAACTGTTTTCCATAATTTAGGAGTTAATTTTCCCCCCTTGAAAATATGCCGAATATTTGCTTTGGTAAATCTTTGAAAGAAATCTAGCTGGCCTTTAGCAGAGAAGATTGTATGGTAAAAAGCAAAACAGTTTCAGTGAAAATCTGATTTCCTTTATACTGGTGTAACTTCATTAATGAAAACATTACCAGCTTTAAGCCACTGCACCAGAGTTCAGAAGCTCAGCTTATGCTTAGCATGTTAAAAGCCAAGCGATTTGCTGTTTCAGGTAAGACGAAGCTTCTTTGTTTCTTGTGTCTGTAGTTTTGGTGAATCATTCCCCCCTTCCTCCCCCATCTTTCCACCCCCCCCCCCCCCCCCCCCCCCC